CTTTTGATCGATTACGACGCTTGCTGAACGTTAAAACATGAGTAGAATTATAATCAACTAAAGCAGTGAATTCTAATAGGTATTAAACTTCGTATTAATTTTAATGATCACGTTTAACCAAAGAACTTCTTCAGATATCAGCGGAAGCGATTTTTATCCGATCTCCGAGCAACATGACGATAAAAGACCGGTATTTCCTGGAGGACGTGAGACGAGTCTCCTTCAGTAAGAAGTACAAGATAATGTCCCCTGTGGGTTCTGACGGGTGCCCAGCAGTCTCCTGTCACTCAGATACAGTTCTGTAGTCAAAAGGTAGGATATAGTAGGATATAGTAGGATAGAGTAGGATATAGTAGGATATAGTAGGATATAGTAGCCTAGTAGGATCACTAGGATATATATATAAAGTAGGATGTATTATGTAAGGTAGGATATAGTAGGATATAGTAGAATATAGTAGGATAAAGTAGGATATATATATATATATATTTGAGACATTCAGTGAAACAGTAAAACACGAAATTCACATTAAGCTATCGATTGTGTAATCTTTACATGTCTCATTCTGAAAGCAAGTTTATTAAAATAACTGTTCTATGAAGTAAATTAAAAACATGACAAAAATAGATCAATACTGAGATGGGAAATTTGTGAGTAAGTCTCATTCAATCATAAGATATAAACAAAAGATGCAGAGGTGAAAGTAAACAACAAAATGCAAGTGTCTGTGGAAAGATTAAATATTAAAGCATATCATATAAAGGTCAATTTTTTATTTCATTAAGAGCACTACGTTTATTAAGTCCTCCAAAATCACTGAGGGTCATAAGCTGGTTTTGCCAAAATGATTCTCTTTCTTTAGCAACCCTACTTCTATCTTCTAAGGTTAAACATTTTATAAAATCTAGCTTTTCAAAAATAATAACCTCTATCTGATCGGATAACTCATTGTCAAACGTTTTTAAGGGCTCTTTGGTAAGATTATGAAACTGGTTATCGTTAAAATGACAAGAAATTTCACAACTCCTAACCGCTTTCCTAATATGTGATTTGTGGTTCTGCCATCTGGTCTTAAAATTGTTAACTGTGCTTCCTACTGAAGCACGTCTGCAGACTTTATCCCTTACTAGATAGCACACCCCTACTGTGTTGCAGTCTAGTTGTCCAATGATGTTAACAGTGTACCCCGAGTGGTAGCTCTGAGCTGTTTTTGATTCACAAATATACATTCTACAGGCTTCACATCTGGAGTTACAATGATAACATCCCCCCTCTTCTATATTAGTAGGCAGAGCCACATTTTCAGTGTTAGAGTTTAAAGCTATAACATTACTATCTTCATGATACTTACGATCTTCTGAAAGTTTACTCGGAACTAAAGTTTCTTTGATAGTTTTATTACCACGATATGAAACAAATACTTTACTAGGCTGGATCACAGACTTTAAAAGGGGGTCTAGGCCAAGGATAAATTTATTCTTGTTAACTATTTTACCAATTGGAGGTAAGTTAGGGTCAAAATCACAAACTAAAGGAAAACATCTTTCACTCTTCTTACTATTAGAGCTTGTAAGGTTTTTTGAAATCAGATCATCCCGTTTAAGTAACTCAACTTTCTCAAAGGATTTATGGATAAGATCTTTATTGTAATTCCTATCTTCTAGATATTCACTGAATTCAATTTTACATTTCAAATACTCTTCTTCCTCTGAACAGTTTTTGAACACTCGATGTGCTACTCCATATGGAATATTCTCTGCTATGTGTGTAGGGTGGCAGGATTGTGGGAGTAAATAGCTATGGGGCATCACTAGGTTTGCAGTACGTCCTAGTTTCTAGCTTGCAATTTTTCGAGTAAATAAACAGGTCTAGAAATTCAGTCCCCTCTGCAGAAGGTGTCGACATTGTAAACTTGAGGTTTGGATGGTATTGATTGAGCCAAAGTAGGAACTGGTCTAGTTTCTCCAGTGACTCAGTCCAAGTGATGTATATGTCGTCACGGTATCTGCCATAGAACTCGGGGGTTGTGATTTCTTGGCTCTCCACGATCTTACTGTCCAAGGGGCTGAGAGCTGAGTCTGCATACTGGCAAGCATTATTTGGACCCATCGCAGTTCCACTTGTCTGTACATACATGTTGCTATTGAAAACAGTGATGTTGTTATCCAGGGTTATCTCCAAAGCTTCCATAACGCAGTCTGTGGAGAAAAGTTTAGTACTTCTTTGGTCTAGTAAGGTTCTACAGGCTGGTAGTCCAATCTCCTTTGAAATGCTGGGGAACATGTTTACAATATCAAATGTAACGTGGTAGATGGTCTTCCCAGTCAATCTTCCTGACTCATTGAGTTCTTCATCTTCATAAGTAGATCATTAGAATCCATGAGGCAGTGGGGCAGGGTTACCTTCTTTAGTTCTTCTGCTGTGAATATTGAGAGGTTCTTGATGTAAGAGTTACATCCAGTGCTGATAAGTCTCCCAGGGTAGTTTTTCTCTGGTTTGTGAGCTTTCAGGTTCATGTAGTTTACTCCAGGTTCATTTTCCTCTTCACTAGGTGTTACCCATTCCATAAAGTTTGGGGTCATGCCAGGGCAGTCAGCATCTGCTGAGTATTTCAGAACCCACTCTTTAATGGTTATGATGGTTGTGTGGATCTGTTGTTGTTGATCCGATACTTGTTTGAAAGTGCTCTGATCTTTTAGAGCAGCTTCTACTCTATTGATGTAGTCTGATTTGTCTAACACAAAGAACCCAGTCCCTTTATCAAATAATCGAATTACAGCATCATCCCAGCTTTTGAGCTCTTGGATTGCTTTTGTAGTCTCCTTGTCTACATTCCTAGGAGCTGGCTTTGGTTTTCTAGGGTGATTAGATATCTGTTTCTTGACATTGCTGATGAACAGTTCTAATGCATGATTACCACTGTTAGAGAAATTCTTCTTCTTTGAGGTTTTTATTCCTAGAACTTTCTCCATTTGCTTTACCTTCTGATCAAGGGTTTTCTCAAGTTCTTCTACATTTTGGGTGGGGATTACAACTCTACTGAGGACGAAACTCATTCTAAGTGAGTTTGCCCAGGAGTTTACATCTTCTACCAGTTTATCTCTGTTCGTTTTAGAAGGAGTAACTGCAAATGATTCTCCAAGGTGGAAGACAAACTTATGAGCATTTGTAACTGTTTTGGACGAGAGATTAATGACAGTTTTGTCTAATGCAGCTTGACTGACATTGTTTCTGTTAAGTGGTCTTGATTTTATCCCATCCCTCCTGTGTTTATGGACAGATTTCCTTTTTCTAGGTTTAGTGACTTTTGATTTTTTCTCCTTGCGCCTACGAGTTCTCGTTTTGGTTAGAGATATCCTGGGTACTTCTGGTTGTTCTGGTAATGAAGTATAGCTGTTTTTGATGTATACCTCTGTTCCATTCACCTTGTCTCTATTTAACTTAGAATCGTGTGTTTTCTCACATTCCAGTTTCTGTTGGCGGATCTTGTGTTGGACAGTAGCCATACCTCTCTCAAAATGGTTTGTTGGCACAGCAGTTTTAAACTCATTTTCCAGTTTGTAGTAGTTCTCTCTTAGTCTGTTTGACCAGTTGTGGTAGTAGAGGATTAAGATATCCAAGATTCTGCTAGCTGTGAATATCATCATACTGGCGGTCAACTTCTCTAAAACAGGGTCTCTGACACTACACTGAAATTGACACTGTTCAAAGATACCTTTTGGTATTGTTGATTGTTGCTTGCTTTTCATAAGGTAAAAGTACTGCTGTTGTATACGGATGTTTTTCCTTCCAGCATTAGACAAAGCAGCAATAAACCTATCGGAAGTGTTAGTAGGTCTGTGGTACATATTTTGGGGGAGACTTTGTTGCGATGAGTGTGGAGAGTGTATTAACAAAGTTTACAGACTGGTGCACAAACATGAACGTAGACAAAACACTGATATGACAAGGACAGGATGAACTTCTGGATCACTCTACTGGTAGAAGATCTGGCGGAATCTAAAGAAGTCAGTGTGATTTGACTGTTGCTCTCTGATTGTAGATTCACAGCACAGAAGTCCAGGTAACTGTATTCACTGATGTATATATATTTGAGACATTCAGTGAAACAGTAAAACACGAAATTCACATTAAGCTATCGATTGTGTAATCTTTACATGTCTCATTCTGAAAGCAAGTTTATTAAAATAACTGTTCTATGAAGTAAATTAAAAACATGACAAAAATAGATCAATACTGAGATGGGAAATTTGTGAGTAAGTCTCATTCAATCATAAGATATAAACAAAAGATGCAGAGGTGAAAGTAAACAACAAAATGCAAGTGTCTGTGGAAAGATTAAATATTAAAGCATATCATATAAAGGTCAATTTTGTATTTCATTAAGAGCACTACGTTTATTAAGTCCTCCAAAATCACTGAGGGTCATAAGCTGGTTTTGCCAAAATGATTCTCTTTCTTTAGCAACCCTACTTCTATCTTCTAAGGTTAAACATTTTATAAAATCTAGCTTTTCAAAAATAATAACCTCTATCTGATCGGATAACTCATTGTCAAACGTTTTTAAGGGCTCTTTGGTAAGATTATGAAACTGGTTATCGTTAAAATATATAATAGGATATAATCTCTACTATAATTCAAAAGATTCTTTTTGTAGAATGTATGTATGTACGACCGCCCACGTGCAAATTTGATGAAAAATAGGAATTTAGGTAACAACCAAAACGTTCCATAGCAACGGTGTTTTGATGCGCACGTGCACGTGCAATGATTGTTTTAACGTCATTTTGATCGGTTTTGTTGTTATTATGTTGTGTTTAAAGTGTTTTATATTTAAATCGGCTGTATCTTCGGTTGGGATGGATATTTTTTGTTGCGATTAAAACTTTCTTTCAAAGAATACTACTAGCTTCGTCCCTGTTACCACGGGCTTTCTAGTCTCTACTATAATTCAGAAAATTCTTTTTGTTGTATGTACACTGTACGACCGCCCACGTGCAAATTAGACGAGAAATAAGTAGTTGCAAAGTAACCATGGTAACGAGGGTTCTTACACGCACGTGCACGTGCAAAGATTGTTAAAACGGCATTTTTATTGGTTTTGTTGATATTACATTTAGTTGTGTTTAGTGCGAGCAACATTTTAATCGGCTGTATCTTCGGTTGTGTATGATATTTTTTGACTCAATTTAAACTTACTAACAAAAAATACTATTAGCTTCCTCCCTGTGACCATGGGCTTTCTAGTATATATATAAAGTAGGATAAACTGCCCTAAGATTCTCAGAAGGTAGGATATACAACAGTTATCCCCTGTGACTCAGTCCTCAGATGGGGGGGGGGGGGGGGGGGGCCAATGGCATAAATGGAGAATTAGTCAAGGGTTTTTCCATTTTCTCCCATTTTCTCCATAGAAAAGTCCCGCCCTCGTGTCCACTCTTTAAGGAAAGTACCGCCCTTGTATCCTATACCCCACTGAGTATGTCATACTCGTCGTAATTTATAATTGCAAAATGCAAATTTTCTAAATTGTATCTTTCAAAGATTCAAGATTGTAAGACTTGAAGATTTCAACTTGAGTCTATATCTGACTAGGATTTGGCAATATGTTGACAAAAAACAACCGCATCTTTGGTCAAATTAATAAATCATATTCACAGATTTTGTTTAAATTCATATCGATACTGATACAATAATTATTATTGAGCAGTGTCACGGTATTTATGTTCAGTCTACTACTACTAGCCCAGCAAAAAATCATCGTCGAAAAGGAATTTTACTACAAAATTGATCTCTTTTGACGAAGTAAAAAACAGAGCCATTGCATGCTTGATCATTAAAAAATTATCACGTGATATAGTATACTGCATAGATTTTCGATCCAAGGTCCATGTTCGACAGAGGGGCGAGAAGCGGTGAGGAGTCAGGAGGAGTTAGGAGGAGTTAGGAGGAGTTAGGAGGAGTTAGGAGGAGTTAGGAGGAGTCAGGAGGAGTTAGGAGGAGTTAGGAGGAGTTAGGAGGAGTCAGGAGGAGTTAGGAGGAGTCAGGAGGAGTCAGGAGGAGTCAGGAGGAGTTAGGAGGAGTCAGGAGGAGTCAGGAGGAGTTAGGAGGAGTCAGGAGGAGTCAGGAGGAGTTAGGAGGAGTCAGGAGGAGTTAGGAGGAGTTAGGAGGAGTCAGGAGGAGTTAGGAGGAGTTAGGAGGAGTCAGGAGGAGTTAAGAGGAGTTAGGAGGAGTCAGGAGGAGTTAAGAGGAGTCAGGAGGAGTTAGGAGGAGTCAGGAGGAGTTAAGAGGAGTTAGGAGGAGTCAGGAGGAGTTAGGAGGAGTCAGGAGGAGTTAGGAGGAGTCAGGAGGAGTTAGGAGGAGTTAGGAGGAGTCAGGAGGAGTTAAGAGGAGTCAGGAGGAGTTAGGAGGAGTTAGGAGGAGTTAGGAGGAGTCAGGAGGAGTCAGGAGGAGTTAAGAGGAGTTAGGAGGAGTCAGGAGGAGTTAGGAGGAGTCAGGAGGAGTTAGGAGGAGTTAGGAGGAGTTAGGAGGAGTCAGGAGGAGTTAGGAGGAGTCAGGAGGAGTTAAGAGGAGTCAGGAGGAGTTAGGAGGAGTTAAGAGGAGTTAGGAGGAGTTAGGAGGAGTCAGGAGGAGTCAGGAGGAGTTAAGAGGAGTTAGGAGGAGTTAGGAGGAGTCAGGAGGAGTTAGGAGGAGTCAGGAGGAGTTAGGAGGAGTTAGGAGGAGTCAGGAGGAGTTAAGAGGAGTCAGGAGGAGTTAGGAGGAGTCAGGAGGAGTTAGGAGGAGTCAGGAGGAGTTAGGAGGAGTCAGGAGGAGTTAGGAGGAGTTAGGAGGAGTTAGGAGGAGTCAGGAGGAGTTAGGAGGAGTCAGGAGGAGTTAGGAGGAGTCAGGAGGAGTTAGGAGGAGTCAGGAGGAGTTAGGAGGAGTTAGGAGGAGTTAGGAGGAGTTAGGAGGAGTTAGGAGGAGTCAGGAGGAGTTAGGAGGAGTTAGGAGGAGTTAGGAGGAGTCAGGAGGAATTAGGAGGAGTCAGGAGGAGTTAGGAGGAGTCAGGAGGAGTTAGGAGGAGTTAGGAGGAGTTAGGAGGAGTTAGGAGGAGTTAGGTGTATATTAAGTCATTTCACTTCCCAACATCATTAGTATCAGATTATTGGAATGAGTCCCAATTTTCTGACTCATCCCAATCATTGTCACTAAAGAAACACCAGTCCATATCCCAATCACAGGTGCCATTAGGGCACTTAACTTTTTCCTGAGCAGTGCACTCATTTAAAATAGGTGTTTTAGGACATAATTCAGGCTTATCACCTTCTACGCATGTGACACCATCCGTACATTTTAAATTTCCTTTTGGACATTCAAATTTCTTGCAGAAATCAGCGTCTTCATCGTAGTTATCTGGGCAATCGTACGGTAAGGCATCACACATGTACATGGTGTAGACACACGTTTTCCCATCACCACACAGACTCTTACCATCTTCACATGGCTCAGCTGGGTTTACTGAGAAACAGAGCACCATCAGGATCAAGCTGGTCAGTGTTGTCATCATCATCATCTGGGAGATGAGGGTTCATCAAATATCTATAGTAAAGATCAGCCACAACACACATCATCACTCGATTGGCTTGTCTGTATTAATCAAATTGAATCGTTAGATATCAAATTCCTCGCGCAATTCTGCATATTTATTTTTGTACTGTGACTGTTAGGAGATTTTTATACTAGGTATACTGCGTGCAAAAATAAAATCGATACGCCCATAACTATGGAAAATATTACAATTAATTTAACGAGGAAAGGATGTCGAACAGAATTACGTCTTGCTCATTGGCCTTGTACGTTCAATGTTGTCTTGGACCATATATAGGAAAAGTAACCCATAATCACATGATGACATAATTACTTAAGGTGCAGCGAATTTAATGTATTTTTAATTTATTTATATGTGTTGGCAGACTGCTCAACAACACAAATATGTTATTATTCTGTATCGCATTCTTGCAAAGCTATGAACTGGGTAAAAGCTATGAACTAGGTAAAATAGTATTGCGGACAATCCTTACTATGAAAAATGATAGATATTAAATAAATGGACTTGAATTGAACAAAAATTTAAATTGAACAAATTAGAAAAAGCACTGTATTGTATGAGGTCAACAAATCTTAAATGTAAAGCTAACTTACAACTATGTATATAATAATACAAATAATATTAATAACAACTTAACCTTGCAAAGTTTTTCAAATAAATGTTGCTACTCAACAGACTTTGATGGGATTCTATGAGGAAATTTTGTGTCACGTGGTCCTTTGTCCCCAAATTTGGTGAGGACTGAGGGAGGTTTTCAAAGTAATTCAGCCAAGGCGCTGAGTTTTACGATAATCCTCATGACTCAGACTCATGATGAAATCTTATGCAAAGTTTACAGAGAGGTTCAAGTTTGAAGTAAGCGATTTTTTTGAGTTCCCAATTTTGGTGAGGGAGGTGTGGGCAAAAGTTTTCAAAGTAATTCAACCAAGGCGCTAAGTTTTACGATAAGCCTCGTGACTCAGACTCATGATGAGACTGAAATATTATGCAAAGTTTACAGAGAGGTTCAAGTTTGAAGTACGCTATTTTGTTGAGTTAGAAAAAGATATTCTGTTATTGAGAAGTGCGAGCTCGGAAGCGGTAGCCCTGCCTTCTGAGGTACGTATCGAGGATGACTCGGACCAAAAATTTTGTAAGTCAAAATCTTTTCAAAGTTTTTCTGGAAACCACTTTTCTCCAGTGTTTATGTTACTAGATAGATTTTTTCGGCTAAGCACCTTCTTAACTACTTACTATAGCCGGATATCCGATCGATTTCTAAATTGTATCACTATCAGAGTGAAATTTAGAGAAATTTGAATTGCAAAATACCTTACTCGGGAATATTATGACAGGGATAAAGTGGTGGGTTTTGAAAAATTCCGCCATATTTTTCCCGGTCAAAAATTTTACCAGTCATAATAAAACCCGCCGAGTCAGATTATGGGGTTCCTAGGGGGTGGTGATCATCATATTTTACCTGAAGTCTCATATGCGCTAGAGAAGACTTTTGAAGCAGTGGATGGAGGGCTGTAACTTTATTGGCTATTGCTACCATAATTTTGTTATAAAAATCACAATTTGGTTATAGAAATCAGATTTCAGGATGGACCGTGATTCTCATTTCTCTTGTCCATGAATCAGTAAATCGTAGAGAAGAAAACAATTTATATGTTATAGAAGAAAACGAAAATAATAATAATATATATTATATATATTATAATAACAATATAACTGGTTAAAATTAATTAAAAAACAAACAAATGATATCAATAATAATAATGGAGGGGATATTAGCGATAATGAGAATGAGAATACGCTTTAATGAAGATTTGACTTATTATTACTTAGATTTATTTTCCTTTAAATAGACGTGTCTTTTTTTCTATTTCTGAGTAATATCAATAACTGTTAATTGAAATAACTTCTTTAACAAGTAACAAAAAACAGAAATTTCGGTTGAAAATTTGTTGACCTCTGAAAAAAAAACTTGAAAGGTCGGCCACCGGTAAATTTATGACCGGGATAATTTGGCGGGTTTTGGGAAAGTCCGCCATATTTTTCCCAGTCATTAATTTTTCCCAGTCATAAATTAACCCGCTATAATATTCCCGAGTAAGGTAGTCGAATTGATCTTGGCCTCTAGTAGCCCGGTATGAGTCTTTAGTAGCTTGGTACGAGTAGCCTGGTATGCGAAAATAAACATGTTAGAGTGTCCAAGTAAGCTGCCACATACGTAATTCGATGATCATAATTCATGGCATAAAATGGAGAATTACTCGAGGGTTTTTCCATTCCCCCCCCCCCCCCCCCCCCCCCCTCAGATACAGTTCTGTAGTCAAAAGCTAGAATATAGTAGGATATAATATATATTTAAGGTAGCATATACTGCACTTTTTTTCAATCCTTTTGTCTTGATGAAGAGTACAAAAGATAATTGCTGCAATCATTTCTTCAAATATCTGAGATATTCAGTTTTTTCCCCACTCAGAGCGCTGAAGCCTACAACAAGATCAAAGAAAGTTTCAAGAGGATAAAGAAGACTGATTCCACTGTTTCGAAAAAGGTAAACTTGAATTTGAGCTCAATAATATGGTAATCCTGGACCACTTTAATTTAATTTGTAAGTCAACTTCTTCTCTGAGAAACCATCATATATATCCTTCCAAGGTAGAATGATTAATTAATAGCTCGATAACATCAATTAGATTATCAGAATGTGACGACTAATAATTTTTCAGGACTCGTCAGCAGAGTTTGAAGTACAAGTATTCAATAATACTGAGGTTACAGTCTACCTTGAGATTACGCAAGATTATGTCAAACTCAAATTCCCGACTGAGACGGTAATATTTTGTAATATTTTTGAATAAATTTTTATCATCTTTTTAATGAGTATGTTGAGAGGATGTGTGTGTGTTAATGTGTTGATTATGTATTATGTAATTAATTATGTAAGTTTGTAATTGATTAGGTAATTTTCAGAATCTGATCCCGGTTAGTCAGATATTCCGAGTAACACGAAATAAAGACTCTATCTCTCTGGATGCTCTAGTAGCTAATGGACAGGTAACAGTCACTTCTTTCAGTAACCACGTCACTTCTTTCAGTAACCAAGTCACTTCTTTCAGTAACCAAGTCACTTCTTTCAGTAACCAAGTCATTGAAACTCAACATTACATCTTTTATTTTTAGTTAAAATATAAAATATCTTTAAAATCATTTTTTTTTGTGAAGACCATCTTATTCCAAAATACAATTTTAAAACATATCCATTTATTTCTTTTTTAAGAATCAAGAAATCAACATGTATATGTACAATGTACATGTTAATCTAAAATATTATATCTAATGTTGCAGGTGAAGCCGTACGTTTTCAAGACGAGTCAAGGGTCCTCAATCTGTGACAGAATCCTAACCTCCTTTGAGCGGATGTCGCTGCATAAACCTAAGAAACACCTTCGACCTGGTTTGTAATATTCTTACTTTTATTTCCGCAACTGAGACATTCATGAAATTGATGATTCTAATTTCTAAATAGCAAATACCCATAAGATCAGTGAATTAATTAGTCAGTTGATCATCATCAATTAGTCAGTTAATTAATTATGTTATTGAACTTTAATTTATTTTAATCGACATTTTCCGACAGGCTCACGTGACAGCTCAGTTACGTCTGATGAGGAGAGCAGTATTTGTCTCTCCAGCCCTGAGTATCAGTTCATGTCTAGTGACGACGAGGAAGGAATTTGAGCAATACCTATGACGTCATCAACCGAACTATGACGTCACTAAACATGATATAAACTACGAGCTGGTTCTCTGATACGTCATTACAAACTGATAACATTTTTGTGCCCGTATTTGTAGACTTAAGTTACTTCTTAGGGGTACTCTCCCCCAACCCCCTACTTAGCGGTTTGTTTTCAAAACACTGGGCTCAGAAAGGGGTCCGGGACTCTACGGCCTTAGACTTGACGGTGGGAAATTTGACGGTGCAAAAACTAGGGTTAGGTTTAGGTTGAGATAAAATTCTCATTCCCAAACCCTAACCCTAACTCTAACTTTAAACCCTAACCATATCATAACCAAAATGCTAACCCATAAACCTCAACCCTAACCCTAACTTTTTTGTGCCAAAAAATCTGCCGCTGTAGAGTCTCGCACCGTAGAGTCCGGACTCCTTACAAAGCCTAGATAAGGAGGACTGTTTTTGATTGTTTCGTTAGAAGTTGAAGTGCAGTTTATGAGTTTGGAATTGAAGACCATGATGTTTCATTTTGCTGAAAATGTATATGTGAATGATTAGGTTTGTTTACCTTTGTGGTTGTTTATGTTTGTGGTTATAAATTAGTTGTTTGGAGGAATGAACTTTGTTAGTGTAGAACTTAGGACGTATGGATGAAGTGCAATTTGTCCGTTAGAATGAAGCCCAAATAACCGCTGATATAAGGTTGTGGTAGATTTAACCATATTAGTTTGGGTTAGTATGGAACGATATTCGGGAACTACGAGAGTTTATTGAGTGGTTTTATTGAGGATTGTGCTTTTGAAATGTGAGAGTTTCAATATTTGTTTCGTTTCGATTCGATTAAAATTGGTTAATGAATTTTAGTCTATTGTATCTGACAAAAATATGGTTTTACGTTCAATTAATTAATGAATTAAATATTTAATGAATTAGTTGGCTTACCGTAAGCGACATTTGAATGCCCGGCGAAACATTGATATGACAGAATTATCAAAAGTCCCCCAATTAGGTAGGTTACCCCATTAAAATACTGAGAAAGGCATTTCAATTTAATAATTTCTTGACTTGGATTTAGAACGTGTCATTATCTTAATATTTCGTTTACAATCTTGTTTTTACCTTTGCTTTGAATTGACTCATATTTAAAATTTTATGATGTATTTTTCTGACGAAGGTTAAAATCTGATTGATTTCTGAGTTAGTATTTACTTATTTAAAACAATAAAATTAATAATAATAATAATTTGATATTTGATAAAGATGTATCTAAAAGTTTGCCTATATCTTGACATAACTAATCTCACGCTCTATCGAATAAGAGGGACATATTTCTGCAAATTTCCCGAAATGAAACTTAAAATGACCGCCCCATGTATACTTGTAAGGAACTCATATTATATAATTAGATTCACTTTTCACATTTCGAATTTGTGTTTAATAAAGACTTTATATAGTCTACCTCTGTGCTTAAGATTATATTGTATTGATTGAAATTTCTATTTGTTATTGTTAAGGTATTTTAGCAGTACAAAACTTAAAACCGAGTTTAATTTCTATTTTCCAAATTCTAAGACAAGCCAGATAAAACGAATCATCTTGCTCACAAATAATCGAAATATTCATAAACCACAAAGACAGTGAGGGGTCGTTCACATATTATGTAATCAGCCGAGGGGGGAGGGCCACTGGCCAGTTTCTAAATGATAACGCTAGTGTAATTTCGACACAAAAGCTATGTGCAAAATTGATTACCGAGGGGGGAGGGGGTTAAAAATGGGCCAAAAAGGGATTACGTAATATGTGAACGACCCCTAATACTAATAGTAATAGATAATGGAGAAACCGGCATCATTCAGAGCCCAATATTAAAATATGGTTTAATCTGTATCGAGTATTCACAGTTATTGAATTAACAGTAAGAGTCGTATTTAGGCTGGGCTTGATTGACGATGTCAATCCTTCGCATCTCGCCGATCTGTGGTTGCGAGAAGCATTATTTGACGCGCGCGCGACCCAGTAGTGCATCGCGCTACAAATGAGTATCATGCCCGTTAACCTGGGGACCCCAGGCTATTATGTTCATAAACATAACAACCGAATAGAGATTCGGCGGTTGCTCTAACCAGAGCCCTCTCGCTTGCAGTAGCGCGCGACCGCCGCGTCACGCAGTACGCGTAGACACATGGCTATGTGAAATTCGGCGGAATGACAGGCTGAGCGCCGCCCAGTGAGGCTATAAATTATAATACTCTGTTTGAAAATAGTGGACCTGCACTGATTCAGAGTTTCCCCAAGTCACGAATGAATTTATTAAGTAACCAGCTGGTAAATTGACAACATTTCGAAATTCAGAATCCTTTACTCCTTTGTTTTAATTTGGTACTTGCGGTTTCCCTATCTGTGAAAACTTCAGCGTCATGAAAAATTACATTACTAATGTCAATTTTGTGGCTAACTAAATTGCAAAAGCAATTAAGTACCCTCCTTTTCAACTATTTTCATTGTTTTATAGGGAGAGTGATTTTTCGCACTGTCACATCTGGTGGCAGCATTGTTCTGAAATTGCATAAAATAGAGCCATCACCACAGCATCCTCACTTTGAACAATCAACAATCAACATGAAGATCTTTTTAGTTATCTGCCTGGTGGCTGCCTCTCTCGCTGCTGAAGATGTCCTTCGTGGTATCCTCCGATCCCCCAAAATGACCCTCGAGCTCTACGGGGATTTCAAATCCCAGGAGCACCTCAAGTTCCTTGCATCTGAAGACCGAATGAGGTTCCGACTCTTCCGATCCAATGCTCAGCTGGTAGCTCAAGCTAACGAGGAGGGAGGATCTGCCATATTTGGTCTCAACTTCTTCTCTGCGTTGACTGAAGATGAGAAGCAACAGTACCTTGGACTGAACGTTACTGGACATGACGAGAACCCTATGCACGTTGCCTCCTCTTTATCCAGTCCCCCTGAAAAGAAACTCTGGACCAATGAGGGTAAGGTTACAGCAGTAAAGAACCAAGGAAGCTGTGGATCTTGCTGGACGTTCGGAGCAGTAGGAGGATTGGAGACAAGGTACCACGGAGTGTCTGGTAAACTGAGGAACTTCGCAGAGCAGGAATACCTGGACTGTGTCTACGAGGGACAGAGGAATGGTTGCAACGGTGGATGGCCTGATAACTGTTACGAATACTCCAAGAAGAACGGTGGAAGGTTGGCTTCAACTGCTGACTACGCATACGCTGGTAAAGATGGTAGTTGCAAAGGAAGTTCGAAACCTGACGCTATGGTGGCTGCTAAAATTGTCGGCTACACCAGTGTTAGCCCAACTGAGGCCGCAAACATTCAAGCCCTTGCATCAGGCTCCTTGTCCGTCGCTTTCGAAGTGACAAGTTACTTCCAACAGTACCGAGGTGGCATCATAAAAGACACAACATGCACCGGGAGACCAAACCACGCCGTCACAGCTGTAGGATACACGTCGAATTTCGTCCTGGTAAAGAACTCTTGGGGATCAAAATGGGGAGAAAGCGGATTCGTGAAGTTCGCTCGAGGCTACCCCTCCAATTGCGGCCTCTTCAAGTACAGCAGCTACCCCAACCTTGATACAACCGGACAGTCTGACAACACTCCTTCTGATAAAGCCACCGACTACAAACCTTCTGAAAACGATGATGTTACCCCAAACCCTAAACCTGACCCAAACTGCACAGACAAGGCAACTAACTGTCATCTCGATTGGTGCACCTGGGAAAACTGGAAAGACACAGTCAAAGAGTACTGCCAGAAGACTTGTAAATTTTGTGGAGATGATGGAGATGATGGAGAGTGCGCCAGCGGCACCATAAGATGTGATGACGGAGTGTGCCGACACGAACACATGTGCTAGATCTCAACAACTTCTTGATGTTTACAATTTCATTTGTATCATTTGACAAGTAACACTGCATTTAAACCTTGTTTTGTTTATAGCCTAGTAGGGAAAAATATGCACAGAAAAATTGGGTACCGAGCAGTAAGGCACCCAGTGTTCAAGACGCTTCCTTAAACAATATTTGGTCGTGTATGACATTAAATTTGTGTGCTCGTATCGGTAACTAGTGGTGCCTAGGCACGTGGATCGGAGCCACACGAGGGATTGATATCGTCAGTCCATATCGTCAGTCCATAGTCCATATTCCATTTCACCCTTTTGTAAAAAGGCAATAGTGAAAGGTTACGAATGGAGATTTTTGCAGAAAAACGTGGATTTTGAAGATTGTGGTAGGTTGGTCAAATATATGTCGTGTTCCTTACTTCCGTAATCCGTATGTTACCAAGCAACGAAAAAGTTGCGCGCGCGAGGATTGCTTGCGGAGATGTGATGTATATATCTTAATCTAGCTTACTATAAACAGGATTAAACAGGATTAAACATAAATTTGTCAATGAGAGCCCTAACACTCACGTCTTGACTATACATCAATATAATAGAAATAAATAAATAAATAATGTGCAAGAGTGTTCTTAAAATAAAAATTTAAAAATCATAAAAACTTAACTTCGCTTCGTCACATCTTTTGTTGAAAGAGAAACAAGTGCAAATAAAATAATTTAATTCCCATGAACATGTTCCAAAATGAAATGATATGGTGATCGTGATATGAAATGAAATGAAGCTCGACTTGACCGTCACGTATCCGCAAAGGAGTTCTGTTGAGGTGTAGCGGGGACTTTACAGCTGGACTTCAGCAGATCCTTCTTAGTGACTTCCTTCTTCGGGAAACGCCTGTTGTTTGCTCCACGACATCAACTTTAACGCGACTTTCCGCAAAAACCGTAAAAGATATACAACTGAAACTTTTTTGACTGGGTCAAATGCCTTTATGGCCTTCAAATCAGCATGAAAAAATAAAATATTGGCCAAGGAATAAGAATTTTAGTACCCAAAATTTGGACCCCCAAGTGGTGTCAAAAACGCGAATTAAATTGATACTAATTATTTTATTCTCTTGAGTCTTGACACCACTTTAGGGTTAGACGGGTTCCTGCTAGTGAATGTAATGTATAATATTACTATTAATTATTATATTAGGTAATACGCCCAATTTGTACGTGGCACGCGTAGTGTATTGAATATTGATGTGTACACGAGTATAGTTTACCTTTGCTTAAAATTTCTTGAATTACAGATACAAGTTAAGTTCTACGGCAATTGAACTGAATTTCAAGTGTTTCCCGTATTTGATGCATAATTTATCAATATTATTATCATGAAGATTGAAGTGAGCTGATTGGAGCTTATACTTAAATTTATAGTAAATGTGGAATGGAAATCTAGCGTCCGCCAAAACGAAACAACGGGCGCAATTCTTGTTATATTTGAACTTATTATAAAAATTAAGTACAGTGTGGCCCATAAGTAGCTGTCCACACTCATTACGCAACCCTTTGATAACTCACGTAATTCATGTCAGTATTTTATGTAAGATTTTATCGATTACAGTAGGTGGGTGGCTGGTGGGCGGTGGCACGCACTCCCTGTTTTTCACAATGATTTTATTCGTCGTCATAAAATGAAAACGCTTTGAGCTACTGACTTTGACTTAAGTCGGCTTCTTGGTCCGAGCAACTACAATTCCTCGCCACACGTCGCGGTCAAGCATAACAGATCTTATCTCTTCAACACAGGAAAGGCTGGTGTCCTTCTTTAGCATGTCCAGAAACGTAAGGTGGGGCCTCCCCGGTCTCCTGTATCCATGCTGAGGGTCCCAGAATAGAAGTTGGTTTGCCAGAAGGTCGTCATGCCTGGCTACATGTCCAGCCAGTCTCATTCTTCTGGAGGCTATCATCGCTGATGGCTTGGGGATGTTGCCGTATAAATCACTGTTGTTGATGATTTGTGGCCAACGTATGTTCAAGGCCATTCGGAGCATTCTAGTGTAGCATCCATTGATCCGCTTAGTCATGGATTGGCTTATCGTCCAAGCTTCAGAGCCGTACAGGAGTACGGGCTCAACCGTTGCTCGAAAGACACGGATCTTTAAGTCCCTGCGCATTCCAGACTTCCAGGTTGTCTTTAACTGATGACAGGCCCCCCATGCCTTTGCTTTCCTAACATCAAAGTCCTTCTCCGCACTCATTATTCTGCTTCCAAGGTAGACAAAGTCATCTACTTGCTCTATCTCCTGCCCACTTGCTGCTTTAATGACGGTAGAGTCAGACTCAGAGAGATTGACTCTGATGTACTTCGTCTTACTCTCGTTGAGGTGAAGTCCAACGGAGTTAGCAGCCAGCTCCACACTGAGGAGAAGATCTTGCGCTTGCTCTGCGGTGTCTGTTGTCAGTGCAAGATCGTCAGCAAAGTCGACATCTGTCATCTTAACTGCTGGGTATCTCCTGCTTCTTCTGGGGTTGACAGTGAAGCCCAGATCTTTGCCTCTAAGTGCTGTTGTCATCACATAGTCAATGACAATCACGAAGAGGTAGGGCGCCAGTGTATCTCCCTGCATAACTCCAGCAAGTATAAGGAAAGCTTCAGTCAGACCATCCTCCGTGATGACTCGTGCCATGGTGTCCTTGTACATAGCATCTATCAGCCTAACAATGGGCTCTGGTATCCCATATGCCAGGAGTATCTTCATCAATATACCCCTGTGAATGCTATCAAAGGCCTTCTTAAAATCGATGAACAAGAGAAGGGCGGTCAGGTTTTTGTCTCTAGCCCCCTCCAAGATCCTCCTTAGACACAGAATGTGGCTGGTGGTACTGCGTCCCTCCCGAAATCCGTTTTGGTTGATCCTCAGGATTTTCTCCATCGCTGGTTTGATTCTGTTAAGGATCATACGATTCAGGGTCTTACTAACAATGGACGTAAGAGCGATTCCTCTGTAGTTATCCACTTTAGTTAGATTTCCTTTCTTTGGCACAGGCACGATGTTGAGTTGCCGCCATTGATCAGGGATTTTTCCATCAACCAGAGCGCTGTTACAGAACTCTAGAATCAGGTCGTCCATGTCCACTCTTTTGAGAATCTCTGGAGCTATGCCATCATCACCATAGGCCTTACCCTCCTTGATCTGTTTCCTCGCCTCCGCTAACTCCTCCCTGCAAAACAGACCAGTCTCTATATCCTGCTGGGGGTGGATGGTTTGGATAACTATTTCCTGGTCAGGTACAGATGGTGGTTGACCCAGGAGCTTAGTGAAGTGGTCCTTCCTGCTCTTCAATCTCCCCTCTGCACTACCTCCATCAACCAGGCTGCATGGCTTGCTTTTCCTGCCATTTATGTCATTAATAAGGTCCCAGCTTTCCTTATTCTTGCACCTGTCAGCAGCATCCTCAGCCCGCCTGATCCTAGAAACAAGAGTCTCCTCCTCAACCTCTTTGTAGCTCACTGCAAGTGCATCCTTACACTCCTTTACTACCTCTCTACTCTCCTCTGTAGGATTCTCATGATATGCGTCTTTGGCGTGAAACAGAGTTCTCCTCCTCTCCGATACCCTAGGATCTTGGGAGGGGTTGTTACGTTGTCTTCTTGGGATGGGCTTAAGCAACTTATGATTGGTTGCTTTCACGGCATCCATAAGCTTTCCGTACTGAATCGTGGGATCGTTCTGCTCACTAGATTCTTCTTCCAGTAGCATAGAGAATCTGTTTTTCACCTCCACAGAATACATACATACTCGCCAGTTCGTCACTCAAAGTCAATCAGTAATCTCATCAGGAGCTAGTCGCTAGCGTGTAGTGCTACAATAGGCCTCATTAGGCGGTACCAAACATGTTGGGGGGGAAATGACGATATAATAATTTCAAAACACCAAGTTTTAGGATACTTAAAATCAAATAATCATACAGCACGACTTCATTTCCAGCTTAGTATAGTCCCAGGACCCAATTGATTGTAGGTAGTGCGCCATCGACAGTGAGCCGCGCGTGCCGACTGTAGGATGGTTTTTTAGCGCTAATTTCGGCCAGCACAATTTTCTTCAAACAAATAAATATTCAGTATACTTCCCGACCTCCGATTCCAACAAAAATTGGCAAGTTTATTTTTATCGTGCACCCCCTATTGATTGTATTCTACGATCAGTTGACGTATCCGTTGATGTGGCCAGTTAGCCTCGTACCGGCCAGATTTCGTCCTAAGAGTTAAAGGATGACCATTTTGTTTGAAGAGGAAGGTGTTTGTAATAGGGAACTAGTCCAGCCTCTCCTGGAAATCACGGTCTTGGAACTGATGATTAGCCCTGTTGGAAAGAGCTTGCTCTCTCTCTCTCTCTCTCTCTCTCTCTCTCTCTCTCTCTCTCTCTCTCTCTCTCTCTCTCTCTCTCTCTCTCTCTCTCTCTCTCTCTCTCTCTCTCTCTCTCTCTCTCTCTCTCTCTCTCTCTCTCTCTCTCTCTCTCTCTCTCTCTCTCTCTCTCTCTCTCTCTCTCTCTCTCTCTCTCTCTCTCTCTCTCTCTCTCTCTCTCTCTCTCTCTCTCTCTCGCGAATATTGCGAACTGAGATATGGGCGATTTTGTTCATTTTTTGGGATTATTTAAACGCAGAATCAACAGTTAGGTAAATATTGAGCATATGGTATTTGGCTCATAACTCATAACTCATGAATATATACTGTTATGAACTAAATTTACTGAATTAAACTTAATCTACTTAATCGCTGTAATAAAGTAATGAAAATTGAACACAAACAAATGTTCGGCAGTAGCACTGCTTAACTAACTCGCTGGTGCACTTGAGCATTTTGTTACCATGGTTATGAGCAAGTGTTTGACCACCCTGGTTACCATGTCCTTTCTAACTTGCTGGTACACTTGACTTGCGGAATTGAAGGAATCCCAAGAGAACATTAGTAAGACCAGCAATTCCAGAGTGAATAACACACACGTAGGGAATCAGAAATTCATCATACAAAAATACCTCATCATGTCTGGCAGCTATTATAGTCCACCAGATGAATGCGATTAAAGTGAA